ATCCATCCATCCATCCATCCATCCATCCATCCATCCATCCATCCATCGTGGCCGGAGCTGCTAGCTCTCCAGCGTTCCTCCGCCTCCACCAGCTGAGTGAAGCGAGCGTGCACAGGAGAACTCGCTGTTGCAGTTTTTTTAATTTTGAAGCATCAGTCAAAAATTGCGTTATGAATATGGGGGGAAAAAAAAATGTGTATACGTTGCAGGAGTGACAAATCTGTGCAAAAAACTGCGACTTATACGCTGGAAAATACGGTAATTTATTCCTGCCTGAAAGTGCTACAGCTTGTTGCTGCCGCTGCCGTTTTTCATGTAAAAATAAGCACAGAATTCTGTGGAAATAACGACAAACTGACAGCGTTGGCTTGAGTTGAAGCCTTTGAGAACCGACTTGTTTTTTTTAACGCTGTAATCTACTTTGATCTTCATGCTGTTTGAATTAGCCGACAGTCCAAATGAAATCAATCTGAACATTTTCTTCTTTCATAGTTGGACTTTTTATCACATCACACTGATCATAGCCGTTCTTCATTACTCAGCAACGAGCCAGACATGTTCTTAGAGAGTGTGGAGGCGGTTCCATTGGTTGGTGTGTGCTGAAGTCGTGTTGGTGGATTCGTTCTAGCAGCCGCACGGCAGAGGAACGTCAGCTCACCGAGGCTGGCTCTTCACTGTTAGGGCCTCTACAGCAGCTGCTGACAGGACAGGACAAAGGCGTGGAAAGGTTCATTTGAGTGTGCGGCGTCACGCCCGGCGTCCCTTTACATTTAAACGTTTCTCTGAAACAACAGAATCAGAACAAGATGCAAACAAAAGGCTAAACAGGATGTTGTGCAAATGGACATGCTAATTTTAGCCCGAGGAGAATTGTTGTTGCTGGAGCGAGAGTCAAATCCTCAAATCATTCAAAACACACTCAACAATGTGTGTTTTGTATATTTGTGAGTGTGTATTCTCAGCCATGGGTCGCACATTGTGACCCGTGGCTGGGGGGGGTCGTCTCTGCCTCTTTCTGATGAACATATTGTAGCACGGCTCCAGTGCAGCCTCCTCTGGGCCTGCCTGATTATTGTGGGTTGGAGTTTAAATCCCAGCTCCTCTCCTGTAACCACCCACTCCACGGGACATTAAAATTTCAAAGGACGGCTTCCCTCAAAACTCACGGAAGCTGTGGTCTCCACCCATGTGCATGTGCACGCTTAGCCCAGAAAACGCTCACATTTTGCTTTGATGTTGAGTTCTGGCTCAGATTTTCTAAATGCTTGATGGTTGATTGGAGGGAAGGGGTGGATTCAGCGTGTTTTGTTCTGTCCGTTTAGCTTCTTTTTTCCCCTTAATCAAATAAAACACACAAACCACAGTAAAACAATGTGTCATTCAGCGTGTCTAAACAACCATGGATCAGTTCGTGCAATGTGCGTTTGAATTATATTTAGCTTTAAATACCTTCTTTTATCAATTAACTTTAATTTGAAGTATTTTGTGTGTGTCCATTACGTAAAGTCAAAATGAAAGGTAGTTGAAGTTCCAGGCTGTAAAGCAGCAAAAGAGGAAAAAGCCCCGTGTTCAACCTGCAATGAATATACCGTGCACTGCTTTTAAGAATTGTTGAAGAAGTTAAATTAAATATACATGTCAGCAAAGAAGCCTAAATGTTAAAAATACCACCAGTAGAAAATATGGTATAAAACAGGGGGTTATAAAGAGCAGGTGAGCTTTGGGGGGAAAAAGCCAAACGACGCGACCGTGAAAATGTGAGCATCTTAACTTTTGAGCCCGAATATGCAAATGAACAAGGGCCGTCCTGAAATATTTATTAGTTTGAGATCTTTGGGAAATGTTTCAGCTCTGAGCTCATCTAGACTAAATGACACTTTTGCTTTAAACAATATTATAAACATTAATTGTTCCGTTCCAGTCACAACACTTACATTTAGTATCTTTGTTTGATTTCTTCCTTTTTCCAGTTTTGATGGAAATTGTTTGGCAGTAAGTGTAGAGTACATATTGCTGATCTACTAAATCCTTTGGATAAATATTTTCAGGCGACTAAGTATGAGTAGATTAAAAATTTCACGTCTTCTTTAGAGTAAAATATGGTCTGATTAAAGTAAAATGTCCAGAAAAATTAAAATTCTGTTATCCTGTTTGAACCCTGATTTTGTCGAACAGTTTTTTTTAACAATAAGTTTATTGTAAAACCATACAAATCTCAATTTATAGCTTTCTGCAGCTGCTTCTGTAAAGGAAAAGCAGTAAAACCGTTCAGCAGCTGCCTGACGTTGACTCACTCTGAGTTGCTGCTGGAGTTCCTTGTCCCGTAACTTCATGCATCTCTGTACTTGAAATATTATCTTGTTGATGTGGGTGGAAGCTTACCATGTCTCCAAATGTCTCCTGAATTACATAATGGGTTGAGGAATGTCACAGAGTTTCTGCTATTGCAAAACTTAACGTTAATGATCAATATGTTGATCTATAGAAATGATCAAAAATCATCCGCTGAGAGCAGTTTTACTTTGGCCAAAAGCTGAAATGGAAAAACACAAGTTACTTAAAACCACGTGTTGGACTTTTTGCCATGTGATGACATCACTCTTATGTGTCTTGCCTTCTCAGAATGGGCATGACGGTACGGGCCAAGCTGAGGGTGTAGCCACATCTGGTAGAGAGCTGAACTGAGCAGGACTCTCAGTCCGAACGACCCGCTGCAGCAGAGAAGATGGGTGAGGTGGAGGAGGAGAGCGACAATGTGGGGAAGCTATTTGAGAGCTTCATCCAGGCCTCGACCTGTAAAGGAACACTTCAGGCCTTCAACGTCCTCTGCAGACGTTTGGACCTGGACCCTGCTGAGCACAGAACCTTCTATGCTGGTCTGAAGGCAAAGGTCACCTCCTGGAAGGCCAAAGCACTGTGGAGCAAGTTAGACAAACGGATGTCCCATAAAGAGTACAAGAAAGGCCAAGCTTGTGTGGGCACAAAGGTACGTTTTTAAATGACAAATGTATTACCGTACTTTTTGCCATATAAGTCGCAACTTTTTGCATAAATTTGTATGCCCTGCGACATACAGCGAAGCGACTTATTTGTGTTTTTCCCCATATTTATGAGATCTGACAATTTCATTCATTGTGACATGGGAAAAATTGAACATTATTTTCAGCCACTAGATGGCGCTTTGAACAATATGGCAAGCCAAGTGTCTCATTAATAGGTAAAAGTGGCTATTAATGGGACACTTGGCTTGCCATACCAAGCCACCTTTGTCTTGCTCTGAAACTCCTGGAGCAAACGTCAAATCAGCTGCATTTCGCCTGGGCGGTGAATTTAAAAATTAAACTGAGACACGCCTTTACTATAATGTTGAGCAAACAAATAATTGTTTTTAGGTGGTTATCTTGGTAAATCTCGAAGAAATGCACAGCGAGTCATCCCTCAGTGCACTCCCGCAGCCGCAAATGGATTTTTGAAATGCGGCTGATTTGACCATTAAAGTGCTTTTATTAAGGAAAAGTTCAACTGATACACACCTTTGCTATAATTTCAAGAAAACGAATAATTGTTTTTAAGTTTCATTCAACCTTTATTTAGACAGGTAAATCCCATTGAGCCTCGAGGACTCATTTACAAGAGAGACCTGATTTCAACAAAGTGTTAATCTTGTTAAATTCTTGTTAAAATCCTCCCGTGCACGCTCCAGCGGCCGCCATTTGGCAGCCAATCAAATTTTTGGCACAACACCGGCGCACATTTCCAGGTTGTCAGCGGTGACGCATAATAGATGCAACATGTACGGCATTTTCAGTACCTGGTTTTGTTAAAGTTTGTCTGGGTTCATGTTTAATTCTCTCTTTTTGTGCTCAGCTTTGCTTCCAGTTTCACTGTTTGTTTTATTTTTAAGTACCGGTAGTCGCCTTTTGTGTCTTTGGTTGATTTCATTTCTTGTTTCAGCATCAAATCAAGTCCAAGTTTCCAATAAGCACAACCGCACTAAATGTAGTCATTATCTCCTCAGTACGCAAAGTTTTTCCTGCTGTCTCGTCTTTGATGTCATTGTTGTCCCAGGTTTGTTCTTGTTGTTTTTTGAAGTGATGAAGAGTTGAACCTTCGCTGTCGGTCGTTCTGTTCGCATGCTTCCGTTTGGACAGACCATTCTCTCTACTTGAAACCATGACATAAGACTTTTATTTTCTGAGACTCTATGTTTCTTCTGGCCTGTCTCCAAAGTAAATCCCACATTCTTAACTCTGTTTAACTCTGAGCTCACAACTGAGTGATTTGAGTGAAAAATATTTTTAAAAAAGTGAGACTGTGAATCTTTGCATTTCACCTTCCTCCCACATTTCCTGTCTGTTTCTGAACCTGTTCGATATATTTTTTTTCCTTGACCGAAACGTCTGGTTTTACAGAACCGTTAAGAAGATTATTTTCTCTGCCAGGCATGCGAGACATGTTTCCTACTCACACCTTCACAGGCGCAGTTAGTGAAGTCAGTTAGGATCATAAAAAACACGCAGCGCACAAGGAATTTTGCACTGCAAGGCCAGAAACGCTGCAAAGCAGTGCAAATATTCACGCACGGTTGTTATTCATATAAAAATATCTCAAGATGTGATGCCGTTCCTATTCATTATCGAACTACTTTGACTAGATTCGCTCAAAACAGCAATCAGAGAACTTCGTAATTTTAAAAAGGGACAAAGCTGACAAAATATTTCCCATCCACTTCCAGACTGCACGTTCCCGTGAGGTTTAAAATCCAAGGGCTTTTGCCTCAAACATCCGTAAAGTTTTATGATTTACAAAGTGTTTCTGTAAGTTCTCACCTGGTTCCTTTTTAATTAGAACAAACGAGACGCCGTGTTAAAGTGGACTGCAGACTGCATGAACTGAGGCAGTGTCTTGTTTTCTACAGTAATTAACCTTTATGTGCCCAAACAGAAGAACTCACTCTTATTTGCAGCCATTTGGCTACCCTTAAAGCCTTTTACAACTAACGTTTAAGCAAACCCATCCCCAAACTAAAAACCTTTAATAGCAAGCGTAACAGCAAACCACGCACATCAGACGAAAGATACTCGAGTTCTTGAACTGAGTCATGAGATTCTTGAACCTGTGTGTTCAGTATCTGCGTTCTGTTCGGGCGGTAAAGGTGATGAGGGAAGCTTCAGCTGTCTCCAGCTGGAGAGAGGGTTGTGACTTCACAGAAAAAACATGGCATCACTTAGCGACTCGGGTTATTTGGCTCCAGGTGTGCTCAGCTGTACTTCTCAGACGTCTTTCTTGAAAAGTTGGAGCCATCTCGTCCAAGTTATCATAATCTCATTCATTTTGAAGAAATAATTACTTTCCTGCGTGCCAGGGTAACATTTTTTGCTTTGTGTCATTTGGACAAATCTGACAGGAGCTCTGCTACAAAGTGGACCCAGTGAGACTTGCAGTAGATGATGAGCTTTGTTGAACTAACATTTCTAATTTCTGGCGTTTTAAGAGCTGTTTATTTGTGCACACTGTTCTCACCGCTCGCAGGAAATCAGTCTACTTTTACATCTGACTGTGTAAATCATTCACTTATGACTTTTCCTAATGGCAGCTCCGTTTAGTGACAGATGGGATCCCACTCGGCACCTCTTCTTCGTACAGCTGCTTCAGCAGAAACTCGTCTAAAAGCTGTGACGTCGTGCGTTTTATGGCCCGACAGAACTGGCAGCAACGTGCGGCTCGTATAGTTTTACAGTTTACAGCCGAAGCTGCCACTTTAATGATCTGTGTAGCAGGTTGTCTTCAGTGCTCTTTGTCAAATCTTTCAGAACAATTTGATGTTTAAAAAGAAAATTTCTAGAAATCAAACTCAACTCGGACAAAAAACTCGAGATATCAGTCGAACTCAGAGGCCGCTCAAACTTAAAACGCCTTCAGAGTTTCATCAGGACTTCTTCATGGGTCGCCAAAGATGCAAACTCACATGAAAATTGCTTCTTCCTGACTCAACCTGGGCTCAAACCTGCAGCTGTAAGATCACGAGACTGCAGCACTGACCACTGATCCACAGTCCCCCATTAAGCTACAGTGGCCCAGCTACATACTACAGTGTATTATAATAGTTATCACAAAATAAATAGATGTTATGGTATAATTATTTGAAGCAAACTGCAGCCTGTTTGTTAGTGAGACAGAAAGACAGCTTGGTTTTTGTCTTTTAAATTTTTAATTATCAGATTTTGTTTTTAAAACATGTGGTTTTATCATACAGGAAATCTGACAGAAGTCAGTAGGACTTTAAAATGTACTTACATTTTCAAATATTTTATTACAGATATGTTTAACCCTATGATTAAATTGACATAATATAATTAAAATCCAATATTTCTATGTTGAGTTTAGACAAAATTGCTACTTAAATTAGTAGTTTGTTAGCTGTGTTTTTAGTTTTTGAGGAATAAGTTTAAATTCCTGATAGCCCAACATTTGTTTTTACACATTTATTAACTAAGTGAACAACTCAACGTATATGAGACATAGTTTTGATTGCTTTAATTTGCTCTTTTTTTTTTGTTAAAATAAAAATAAACTGAAGAAATGGAACACAGATTCACAATTTTAAGACTATTAAACAAATATTTTTTCAATATAAAGGACTTAAATAATCAGTAAAACAATATTTTTTGTTAATGATGTTTTCTTCTGATGAGAATTTGTCACACACGAAGTGAAGCTTTGTTTTTTTAAGCTGAGGACTAAAATCAGTTTAAGTTTAGAGTCACAGGAAAAAGAGGACACAGCTGGAAAACTGAATGGAAATCTGTTTCCTGACTCAGCAGATGTGACACAAACCATCAGCAAAAAAAACAAGCTGCTGGAGGACGATAGAGAAATCTCAACAGTCACATGCGTTTAGTGACAACGAACTGTGAAAGTGCATCTGATCAAACAGTTACTTTACTTTAGTGGCTAAATATTTGGTTGTTCTTTGTCACTGGTTGAGTGAAGAGCCAAAAAAAACGAACCTCTGCTTTGCTCAGAGGAATAACTCCACATGTGCCGACTTGTCAGAGCAGAGAGTTCACCTGTTTCACACCTGAGAATATGTCATCCTGAAAACTTCACTCAGGATGCTGAAGATCATGGTGATGATGGTGATTGTCTCTCTCAGAGGCAGGTTGTGGGCTAACTAAAGCCCAACCACTCTGCTGCAGATGTGCAGTTATTTTATGTATTCCGTTCACTTCAGTTTATTTATATAGCACCAAGTCACAACATATATAAAAATAAAAATTTAACACTATTTATAGATGGTGGCACGAAAACATCGGACAAAATTTAACCGTATCAAAATACAACAACAAAATAAAAGCAATCAAAACAATAATTTGTTTCTAAAGTACTGGAGGATCACACCATCTTAGAGTAATTCATTCAAGTCTGGCTTTAAACCTCTCCACAGCACTGAAACTGCCCTGCTGAAGGTCTTTAACGACATCTTCAGATTCACAGATACCGGTGATTCTGTGCTGCTTGTCCTGTTGGACCTCACAGCCGCCTTTGACACCATCGACCATGAGATCCTCATTGCTAGGTTGGAGCAGTGGGTGGGCATCACAGGATCAGCCCTCAATTGGTTCAGATCTTACCTCAATGACAGATACTTTTGTGTCTCCATCAAGGATTTTAATTCTGCAGCGACAGAGCTTAAATGGGGGGTTCCGCAGGGGTCCATCCTGGGTCCCCTGCTATTCTCTCTATACCTGCTGCCACTTGGTGCTATTTTCCAGAAACACAACATACCGTTTCACTTCTACGCCGACGACTGTCAAATTTACTTCCCGCTAAGACACAATGGTACATGCTCTATTCAACCACTGCTCAACTGCCTGGCTGACATCAGGGACTGGATGGCTTTAAACTTCTTAAGTTTCAATGAAAAGAAGTCTGAAGTCATGTTGTTCCCTCCCAACGACACGATCACAAACCACTGCATCAACCTCTCTGCTCTAACCCTGTCAGAAAAACAAAGAGTCACTAATCTTGGCTTGATAATGGACCCTTCCCTGAAATTTAACAATCATGTAAACATGTTTCTTCCAACTGAGGCGGCTGTCTAAACTGAAGCCCATATTGTCCAAAAAGAACCTGGAGACAGTAATACATGCATTCATTACATCTAGGCTTTATTACTGCAATTCACTCCTGTTTGGTATCAGTCAGACCTCCATTGCACGACTACAACTGGTCCAGAATGCAGCAGCCCGATTTTTATCCAGTACAGGCAAAAGAGAGCACATTACACCAGTTTTGGCCTCACTGCACTGGTTACCGGTTCACCTTCGAATCCAGTTCAAAATACTCCTGTATGTCTACAAATCAATGAACAGTTTTGTCCCCCATCTCTCTGATCTGCTACAACCGTATGTACCCACCACGTTCCCTGAGGTCAGCGGACCAGTTGCTCCTCACAGTTCCAGGAACTCGTCTTAAGCGCAGAGGGGACAGGGCCTTCTCTGAAGCGGGACCAAGACTTTGGAACGAGTTACCTCTGCTTGTCAGACAGGCTCCCCTCCCTCTCGGTTTTCAAATCCCGTTTAAAAACTCACTACTATTCAGTAGCTTTCAACACCAGAGGATCTGTGTTTTGAACCTGTATGCTCCACACTGGTTTGTCGTCATATTTATTATCTGCATCATTTTTATGTCTATATTTTTGATCTACTTCATTTTGTATTTTGCTTCGTGTGTTGTCTGTTGTTCTGTCTGTACAGCACTTTGGTTGGCCTTGTAGCTGTTTTAAGTGCTCTATAAATAAAATGGTATGGTAATAAAATATATGCATTTAAAAACCTCACAATACAAAAAAGAAATTTTAAAAAGCTACAGTTTATTTAAACAATGCTTAGTTTCCGTTTTCTTTCTCCAGTGTGCTTGTGTGAACAGCAGGCAGTGTGTCTCCTGTCACAGATACACGTGGAGCCTCTTTATCTTCTTGTTGCTCCATCGGGGGACAGAGCGTGAGTCTTCTGTCTGCGTCCTGTTTGGGTTAGATTACTGACGAGCAGGGAAAAAGACATGAAGCTCTGACTTGGTGAGGTCATGGAGACGGGAGCCTGTTCATGATGTTGAGCACAGCAGGATCAGACAGCTTGGTCAGAAGAATCCCAACATGCACAAGAACGTGCACACTCAGTAAAAGGTTCTTAAAAAAATTTATGGGGAAAACATTTGCCAGCACACATGCGTCACTCATCTATCAGTCAACGTGTACGTCATGTTTTAGCCACACGTACTCAGACATATGCTGCAACCTCAGGGAACTGACTCCATGCATTTCTTTGGTGAGGCGGGACGTGAATCACACCTGAACTATGCAAAGGTCGTTCCCCCAGGGCAGGTTTGTCATCGCATGGCATCACTTCAGGCATTTGAAAACGGTTTTCCTTTTGTGAATTGTTTTCTACATCGTCTGACTGAACTGTTTGTCAGAGTTTATCCTCCTGAAGTGTTTCTGCTCGAGACACTCACATTCAAATGTAAGCATTGAAGTGATCTAGTGAGATATCAAAGTTCATGCTCAGTCAGTCAGGTCATCTGGACAGTTTCTTTTTTGTGGAACGACGTTTCACCCTTTATCCGGAGGGCTTCATCAGTCTGAGGAGTCCCAAGTAAACTCAGATGGAGAGAGAGGACAGCCTTAACATTGAAGTTTACAGAAAACCAACCCACACAGACCAGTGTCTTCTGTTTGACTCCCACCATCCACTGGAACACAAACTCTCTGTCATCAGAACTTTACAGCGTCGGTTCCGAACGCATCCCCACAAAGACAGAAGGGAAGGAAAAGGAACAGAAACACATCCAAGAAGCTCTCCAAACATGTGAATATCCTAACTGGGCTTTTGTCAAGTCAGAGAGGAAATCTACAAAACACACTAATAAACAGAAAAAGGAGAACAACAGACGGAAAAACATTGTCATCCCTTATGTTGCTGGAGAATCTGAGAAATTCAGAAGGATTTTCAACAAACACAACATCCCAGTACATTTCAAACCCAGTAGGACTCTCAGACAGAGGCTGGTCCACCCTAAGGACAAAACACCCATACACAAACAGAGTGGTGTAGTGTATGCGGTCCAGTGCAGCGAGGACTGTCCAGACCTCTACACTGAGGAAACTAAACAGCCTCTTCACAGACGCATGGCTCAACACAGGAGAGCCACCTCCTCTGGACAAGATCCAGCTGTTCACCTCCACCTCACAGATAAGGGACACTCTTTTGAGGACCAAAATGTGCACATTTTGGCCCAAGAACACAGATGATTTGAGAGGGGGGTGAAGGAAGCAATTTATGTAAAAAGAGAAAAGCCGTCTCTTAACAGAGGAGGAGGCCTCAGATTTCCACTTTCAAAAACATATAATGCAACTTTAAAACAGATCCCCAGCCGGTTTTCACATCTGATGGGAACAGAGGGGCCTCGTCTGTGAATTAGGAACAAAGACCTTAAGAAACCCCTACTGTTAAGGTGTTGAGGTGTGACTTATTAAATCTACATATGTGTGTGTGTCTTATCCCACTCAGCCTTATAACCTGAATCTCTCACTCACTGCTCATTGAATTGAGAAAGCTCCTCAGATGAGGAGCGAAACGTCTTCTGTTACAAATTAAGTCCAGTTGTTTTTGTATTGAACGTTTTTTGAACTTCCCAAGTAAACTGTTTTCCCCACTAAGCGGTACACTCCTTTAGTGGACCAACTGGTGATAAGATGGTTTCTGGGGGCTGTCCTGTCCCCTGTCGTCTCCTCCCAGGCAGGCCGCCACAGTCAAAGGGGTTCAAGATGCAACAACCAATAGTGGTTGGTCCACTAAAGCATTGTTGCCAAATCTGCTCATTAGTGACTTTGGGCTTGTTTTTTTTTTTTCTTTCTAAAGTCGCTTGCAAATCTTGTGAGTCGCAGGTTGCGTTTTTTTGGGCTTGTTTTTGAACGTGAAGTTGCTTATTTGGGCTTAACTTTCTTTCCGAGTGAAACTAGTTGATTATCTCCCGGCTCCGCACAATAAAGCAAAAGACGAGTGGTAGTAGGTAGTTTGTCCCTTCCACACCCCCGTTTCCTGTTTATCGCTCCCGCCCAAGATGGCGAGGCGACAGGCGCACACCCAAACAAATACTCATACTGTGGTCGACCACTAGGGGGCTCCACTCACACGCAGATGTCAGAATGTTTTGTTTTTAAAAATATAAAAAATATAATTTATATATATGCAAAATGTATTTTTTAATCAGAGCTTAAAAGCATGTTGTCCAAAGTGTTTAGCATAATTTTGCTGTTGTTTATGTATAATGCCATAATAAATAAATAAATGTATGTTCATACTGTTTAAAAACGGCCTCTGTTTTGCACAATGTGGTGAGTTGCCAGTTGGGCTTGTTTTCATAGAGCTGGTTGCTTGTTTCTATCGCGAGATCTGGCAACACTGCACTAAAGGAGTGTACTGCTTAGTGGGGAAACAGTTTATCTGGGACTCCTCGGGCTGATGAAGCCCTCTGGATAGAGGGCGAAACATCTTTCCACAAAAAAGAAACTGTCCAGATGACCTGACTGACCATTATTGGCTCTAGTGAGATGTTTTGCTGCTGGTACAATCTAAATTTTATTTTAATCAGAGGCTTTTTTTTTAAAGTCTCGGTCTGTTGATAATATGACTGAAATGTTTCTTAGTGTGGGTTGTTTCTCTGTGCCTTGCGCTGGTAACGACGTCTGTTCTTCTTCACTCAGTGCCTCATCATCGGAGGAGGTCCCTGCGGCTTGCGGACAGCCATAGAGCTCGCCTTGATGGGCGCCAAAGTGGTGCTCATTGAGAAGAGGGACTCTTTTTCGAGGCACAATGTGCTCCATTTTTGGCCCTTTACCATCCATGACCTGCGGGGCCTTGGGGCCAAAAAGTTTTATGGAAAGTTCTGTGCCGGAGCCATAGACCACATCAGTAAGTATAAAAAAATAAAATAAAATCAAAACACGGGGCTGAATTGTAAGTTTGCATGTCATCATAGTGGACACACGAGGTCATTGTTTTTGTAAATGTGTGCTCAAATCTTTCACTCACATTATATTTTATATCACCTACCTCCACTAGAAACACCCACAGCTTCAAATTATAGTTCAACTTGTACGAGAACATTCCTTTCTTCAACCCTCGGCTAGTTTAACAAAGAAAGGTTTTCTTTGTTGTGTTTGCAACCTCCTGTACGTTCAGTACATAGTCGCGCTGTACATTCATACCTACTATTTAATAAATATTTACAGCAAAATGCATGAAAGTAGAAAACTTTGCCTTCCTGCTCAGATTTCTCTTTGCTGCAAAAATCACCAAAGCTGACCCACAATTGATCTCATTAATTTTTCCACAACAGAACTTCAAGATATTTAAACTATTTCGTCTGACTGGAGCCAGACACCTTTCTGAAGACTGTATCTAGCAGGGTTTGCTCTCAAGATTACACAACACCAAACACAAGGTTTGTCTCCAACAGGCATTCAGCAGCTGCAGATGATCCTCCTGAAGGTCGCCCTGATTGTTGCAGTGGAGTTTCACATAAATGTGGAGTTTGTCAGGCTGTTGGAACCTCCAGAGGACCAGGAACATAAAGGTATTCAATCCCACCTTCACGTTGTCCAAACATGAGGTCAGCGGTGCCTTTACACAAATTCAGTGGGCCTGAGACATTTCAGGGACGTGAGGAGATTTAAACATCTGGAATCTGTACTAATGGTAATTATTAGAGTCAGATAATCAGAGTCAGAGATGCTTTATTGTCATTCGCACCTCATGTGGTACATGTGGTGGAGCGAAATTATGTACACAGGGTCCCAGTTACATCCAACAATAAAATGTAAAAGAAAAACAGTAATAACATCTAAGATATGAACTAAGAAAAACATCAACTAAAAATACACTTAGCACTAATATCATAAAAACATTACGTTGAACAGCAGCACGAACATGAGCATGAGTCTGTGTGAGCAGATGAGCATGCATGAACACATCAACATGAAACAGATTAGTAAGATTAGATTAAATCATTTTAATGTTTTCAGCCTTTTCTAGACCCATTCCTGGAGCATATTTGTGTAACTTCCTAGTCCGCTGCTCTCTATGAACTCGTGATCAGTAGCAGGAAACTTGTCATCCTGCAGGATTTAATTCAGTGACAGTCACAAATAAACATGGGATACACGCAGCTTGTTTTGTGCCATGATGACGAGGCTGGCAAAGGTCACATACTTCGTGTCACTAATCTGTAAATGATCCATTTCCAAAATAAAAGCACATTGCACAAATGATCAAACCACTGGTTTAGTTTGTTTTAAAGCAAACATCTTGTCTTCGTTAAACTTTGATCACATTCCAACTCAGTTCAGTTCAGTTTTTTATAAAGAGCCAAGTCACAACAGAAGGGCACTGAACAGAAACATTCAAGTAAATAAAAAATCAATTAGGAACATTGATTATCTAAGGTAGGGTGTGTTGAGTCTTCATTTCATCACAGTCTCCCATCCTGAGCAAGCACAGAGGCAACAGTGGAAAGGAAAAACAGGAAGAAACCTCCAGCAGAACCAGGTTCAGGATGAGCGGCCATCAGCTTCAACGGGCTGGGTTTGAGAGGACAGGAAGTAGGAACGGACACAGAATGGCAGGTCCAGAATGGAAGCAAGCAGGAGACCAGCTCTATCATCATCATCTTTATTTATAAAGCATTTTAACACCAGCCACAGCTGAAACAAAGTGCTGAACATCAATAATAAATAAGATAAAATAATGACAAAGCACACAATGAGTTTAAAACTCAATTCAAAACACAATAAAACGACGAGTTCAACAGGAGGAAAGACAAACAAACAACGTTAGAAATACAAATACAAACTATTCATTTGTAACTACAGTATTCATTTGATGAAATGAGGTCAGTTTGTCCTCCAGCAGTCTAAACCTATAGCAGCATAGGATAAGGGACAGCTCAGGAAACCCAAGTCAACCCTAACTATAGGATTTATCAAAAAGAAAAGACTTAAAACTGGACAATGTGTCAGCCTCATGGACAGAAACTGGAAGTTGGTTCCACAAGAGAGGAGCCTGAGAACTGCAAGCTCTGCCTCCCATTCTGCTTTTGGAAACTCTAGGAACCACAAGTAAACCTGCAGTCTGAGAGCGAAGTGTTCTGTTAAGAAAATATGGAACAATATAATCTGTAATATAAGATGGAGCTAGGGCATTTGGTCATCGTCCCATGTTGACTTTAGTCCCAGAAGAGAAAACTCTTCAGTACCGGTCAGTTTTAATATCAGAACGCTGATAACAACCCAAGACTAAATTTAGAGCCGAACTTATCCCTCCTCTTCGGCTGGGACAGAATTAGCTGTGCCCTTGACTTCACAAAAAGGCGCACAAGACACTCACCCCTCACTGCCTGCATAAAATGGCTAATATTACGTTAAAAATATGTAATTTATGCAGTTTTATTGGACACTGACACTTTTACTTTGACTGCATTATCAAACAGCAGGCAACAAGAAGAGCGCACATTTTTGCAAATTCAATTTCATCACTCGTTCACTTAGAACATCTCTGATAAAAATGTATTTAGTGATGTTCCTGATTGTTTAACAGAGGAGTGCAGCATGAAGAAAGCGTTACTTTGATTTATAAATACACCTCGTGTGTGTTTTTTCCAACGTTCTCAGTTGCTCTGTTTTGTAGCGATCGGGTGGAGGGCTGCAATCCGACCTGCTGACCATCCGGTGGCTAACTTTGACTTTGACGTGGTGGTGGGGGCCGATGGGCGGAGGAATACACTGGAAGGTGAGAAGATAAAAAACAAAAGTGGTTAAAAGTATGCAACGCCTCAGGGGTGTTCTGTACATTTGACAGCAGCGTGCTGACAAAGGTTTGGAATCCGCTGCCACCCCGTCCGTCAGCAATATTCAGTATTTAGAAACAGAAACACCCAAAAAACAAAGACACACAAACAGCACCAAGTTTAATTTGTTTAATAAAACTTATTCTTATTTCAGTCTTTGGCTGTATTTGAAGTACACTTTTTTTTCTTGTTTTCATTGGTATCTCACTTTATTATCCGTTTCCAAGTTGTAATGATGTATTAACGCAAAGAAAAATTAGTTATTTTTCTTATATTTTGCATGTCTGGGTCTGTAGCTATAACTGAAATGGATTTGTTAGTTCCTATGTGCAGTCACTGATCTCTCCCAGAGGAGGAAAGCGACTCATGAAAGCAGCACTCGACGTCAACAGAGCAGCGTTGGGCCCGACTGCAGCAGCTGATCTGCTCACGATGGAGCGGCTCCAACTTTCTAACTGCTTTCAGGCTTTCTTTTTAAAATGCTGTCATCTAACAACCAATTCTGATCAAATGCTTATTCCTTAAATGGACATTTTGGGGCTGAGCAAAATGTTTAGCTCATTCTTTAATTATGAACGAGCCTGGAGGGAAATGGTTTTCTCCTGAGTCCGCCTGCTTGTGTGTGGCTTCTGTGGCCAAGCTGTGGTAACGCAGTTAAACGCTCTCTGTTGTTGCCGGATTTAGGACAGTCTCAAACTGCACATTTCTTTTAAACTCGTTCTTTTGACCCTTAAGCTTACGTCTGTTGTGGGTGTATTATTTCATAATTAAACAAAGCTCTCAAAGATTAATAGCCGGAGAGAAATGTATTTTTGGCATCTGATTCTTAGAAGTCTTACATTGTTGGACAGTTTTGCAATCTGGATCTGTCTCAGAACAGCATTATTATATATATATATTTTTTTTTTCTCTATAGCAACAGTGAGACAAAACATGAACTTTTGAACAGACATTATCTTCAAGAATGAGCTTATTTTCACAAGATTATTAGATGTTTTGGCTCCATCAAGTTCACTTTAGTCACAATTTTCAGCCTCTACATTATCACACCAAATTTTTATAACTGTAAAATATCTGTAAAATAAGAGTTATAGCTACTTTCTTGTGTTTGCTAAGACCAGCTAACTTCTTTTGCGTCCTCGGTGAATTGCTGCTAATCCTAAAATAAATACCTTGTAATTATGGTTTGAGGCAAGATTTCCTCCGGTTTGAACACACGAGCAGACACGTTTAGTCCAACATTTCCGTTTTAATCCTTTTCACTCTTGTGTCTTCCCAGGTTTTAAAAGAAAAGAGTTTAGAGGTAAGCTGGCGATCGCCATCACGGCCAACTTCATCAACAGGAACACCACGGCGGAGGCCCAAGTGGAGGAGATCAGCGGAGTGGCCTTCATCTTCAACCAGAAGTTTTTTCTTAACCTCAAAGAGGAGACAGGTGGGACAGACAGAAGATTAAAGTGCCTCATGACAATAGAGTTAATAATTATGCTCAGCAGAGAGGAAGTGATGTCAATTGTTCTGCAGTATTAGTTTGTTATTTGGTTTTATGTCAAATAAAAATGTTTTTTTTTTACTTTACTTTTAATATCAGTTTTTTAATAAATGTCTATTAACTGGGTGGCACAGTGGCTCAGTTAGTAGAGCTGTTGCCTCCGAGTGAGAAAGGTTGTCGGATCAAATCCCAGCCGGGGACCTTTCTGGTGCATGTTCTGTGGGTTTTCTACTCCAGTTTCCTCCCACAGACCAAAAACATGCATGTTGGGCTGATTGGTAACTCTAAATTGTCCCTAGGTGTGAGTGAGAGAGTGAATGGTTGTTTGTCTCGTTTGTCTCTATGTGTCCCTGTGATGGACTGGAGACCTGTCCAGGTGTCCCCCGTGTCTCACACAGTGACTGCTGGATATGGGCACCAGTGACCCCCCGTTAAGTTAACTGAAACTTGTACATTTGACAGATTGTTTTTTTGTGTTTACTTATTTTTTTTTCATGGTCGAATAAGCTGTTGGAACAAAATGTTAGAAGATTGTTAAATTCACTTTATAACCAGAAGGGGAAGGGAAGTCTGGGATTGTCATCGATCGATGTTTCCATACAACGGCGAAATTAGTTCTCTGCATTTAACCTGGGATGCACCCAGGTGGAGCAGTGGGCAGCTACGTAAACACCCGGGGAACAATTGGGGATTGGGTGTCTTTCTCAGAGACACCACAACATGTGGGAACGGCTGGGAGTTGAACCGTGACTTTCTGGTTCCCAGTCGGCTGCCTTGCCTCTACCCCACCTTTTTATGCATTTATCATTAAATGGTGTAATTTCCTGCAGGTATTGATCTGGAGAACATCGTTTACTACAAGGACAACACACATTACTTTGTCATGACGGCTAAGAAGCAGAGCCTTCTGGACAAGGGAGCTGTCATCAATGTAAGAACATTTATTTAATTATATTTAATCTCCCTCTAGTATTTTTTTATTACTAAGGACTTAAGTGGGGTTTTTTTAGTTCAAGGAAGAATTCTGTCATATTATTTGTATTTACACTCTGTTTTTAATTAACGGATACACTTTCAATTTAAGTGTCAAGCTTTGGCTTGGAGACACCTTTGAAGGGATAATTCATCATTTTGTAGTGAGTAGTAAGTTTCTTACCTGCACTAGATGCAGCCAGAATGACTCATGTTGGAGTAATCAGAGAGAAGTCTTTACGAGGAAGTGAAGCTCAGTGGTAGTGCGGAGCTAAAACTGCCAACACAGCTCAAAACTCTTCCAGGAGTTTAGGTGAGCGATATAATAAATATATTTTTTAGTTAGTTTTAATAGCATCAGACCGTTGTTCACACTGAAACTGTTTTGTCAACCAAGCAACATCTGAGGCTGCTGTGTCAGCTGTGAGGTGCAGTTCTGCTGGTTTAAATCCTAAAACAACCGCTACGTGACAGTCAAACTGGGTAATTCTACATTTAAGACTGGCTGCTGATTTTTCTGGGGATATATGAGTATGAGATAGATTAGACAGAGGGAGAACTGCTTCTTAGAGATTTACAGCTCCTGGTTGACGCAGCTTAAGGATTTCTGTCAGCCCCTGTAAACACGTTACATACAGCAACATCGATGTTACGCAGCTGAGACAAACTGACCACGCGAATACGTCTTGTGCAAAAATGATCAGCTCAGATGATGTCATTGTGATGCTTGTTTGAGCTGCTCCTGAAGTTTTGAGTTTGGGATGTTTGAGAGTTACCTTGAATCCTTCAAACTGAGATTTCTCTGATCACCGTTCGTTGCAGGTAACACACTGACTGCTCTTAACTACTCTGCATAACCCCGCTTTAAAGTAAAAACAAAACCACTGAATCACTCCTTAAACCAAAACTGACACATTTTAAACTCCAGATTTTATTGAAACGCATCATGAATCCCAGTTTGTTTTAGGGTCCAGATGTTGACGGGATGCAAACATTTCTGTACATTATTTATAAAAATGTTCAACAAGTTAGTTTTATGTATTTAAAACAGTATGACTTCATACCCCGTTGGGTTCCACGTGTCTCTAAAGGGGATCCCATTGTTTCTTGCTGCTGCTGTTTGAACAGGATTACTCCGACACCCAGATGTTGCTGAGCAGTGAAAACGTCAACCAGGAAGCTCTTCTGACCTACGCCCGAGAGGCTGCTGACTTTGGCACCAACTACAAACTTCCTACTCTTGATTTTGCCATGAACCACTGCGGGCAGCCAGATGTGGCCATGTTTGACTTCACAAACATGTACGCGTCGGAGAACGCCGCTCTGGTCAGGGAGAGATTTGGACACCAGCTGCTGGTGGCGCTGGTTGGTGACAGTCTTCTGGAGGTAAGGAAAGACGAGGCTGATCAAATAAAGCTTCAGACACTGGCTGCTTGCTAAAAGGAGCAGTTACACCGCTCGATACTAGTTATTCAGTTTGGTTATTCTATTTATACAGTTTCTGAGAGGGCGCTCAGTTACGGCACTAGCAGGGGTTGCTGATGTTGTGTTCCCACTCAGAGAACGATTCGCCTCCGCACAGAACGCAAACTCATCCTGATGTTGAAAGCAAAACAGCAGTCAGACCCTTCCTGCTGCAGCTGCTGGTTTAGGAACACATTACGTGGGGGCGCATGGTCATGTGCACGCTGTTTGTATAATCACACAAATAATCAGCATTAGAAATGTGCATGAAATGAAGTATTTACTGTGCAACAGTAGTAACTGAGCACAAAAGTGTGTTTGAAATTCCAAGTGAGCATAAAATTGTCCCCTTGTTTTTCCTCTATAATTGTATTTTTGGCTAATTTTCTTTATTTATATGCAAAGATGTACAAAGTATATATTGATGAAATATGGTTTATCATGCTAGAAACATAACAGAAGTACTGCATGGTAAAAAAAAAAGAAGATGTTTTCAGTTTAATTTGTCACTGCCAGTCATGCACTTATAACTGGTTCTCTAACGTTTTTATTTTATTTAACTGACATTTCATCCATCCATCCATCCATCCATCCATCCATCCATCCATCCATCCATCCATCCATCCATCCATCCATCCATCCATCCATCCATCCATCCATCCATCCATCCATCCATCCATCCAT